TTAATGTTGCTTTATAAATTGCCGTTCCCTTAAAAAGTGGCTTGCAAGTCCACACATACAGCAGCTGCTTGGACTGTAAGCCCCACTTCATATGTGTAAGCTTGCACATGTATGGAAGAGACTGGATGGGTCACTTTAATGTAATCATCTAGAAAATAGCTGAGCCAGGAGGTTCCAATTCTGTGACAATAATACAAAAGCAATTCCAGCGGGATTCAGTCATATCCTTTGCTGATTATCTTGGGTCATTTGCAGGTCACTGTTTTTTCTATGGAACTATGAGCTATAACCCTGCTGTTTTTCATATAGTTACCATATAACACAAAAACAAGAGAGAGCTGGGTAATAGCCCCCCAACCTTGCAGTTATTGTTTACTTTCTTTCGACTCACATCAAATACAGGTTTGCTTCTTCAGCGTATACACAAAGCAGAAGATGAAATGGCTAGTAGACTTGTTGCCTCAGAATAACTGAGCATACAACCAAAATACTGAATGAAAAGGGCCTACAATAAACTCCAGCATTACTCACTGCATTGGTCATCTTTGTACCTTATTACCATTTGCTACTCCTTTTCTTTAATCTCCCCCATCCCTCCTAAGTCTTCTATAAAAATTGAGATCATGGGCTGTTTGGAGTTAAGATCCTGCTACATTAGCCTACTGATGAGACTGTGTACAGGACAGCAACTGAGTGCAACAAAGGGGTTCTGTCCATTATAAGGTCTCTCCTCAGGGAAGCCTTCTGCATGATAACCAGTCTAGAACCACAGGTCTTTCTGCAGGTACTGAGAGAGTGTGATCCTGGTATTGCTTGTGTACTTCCAGAAATGTTGTAAGCTCTGATCTACAAGAAGGGTGGGAAGGATAGTCTAGATAAGAATGAACCATTCTTTCCTCTGGAGGGTCACCGATTTCACCTTAATTATATAATGCCCAACACTCTAAAAATGCTACTATGAGAGTTGAAAGAACCATCACATACACAAACAATAGCTGAATGCATTGGAATATAATCTGTGTTAAGGAATATAGTAATGTTTACTGCAAAACAAACAAAAATTGCAGGCCAGCTCACTCACACTTTAAAGAAATACTTTATCTGAAGATTATTATATAGCCTTAGTGTGTGCATATCTATCTACCCTTGAAACATTTGTAGAAGGGCAAGTCTCCTGTCCAGTAAAACATGTTATGCATACAACTTCTTTAAAGGCTGTCAGAGAGAATGAAAAGTAAAATATCATTCTCCTTTAGTCACATTTTTGCTGTATTGTGAGGTTTAAATTAATAGTATTTTACCTCTAAAGCTTTTTTAAAGTGCAATTCAAAAATCTAAATTGTTTTAGGACGCAAATATGTAAATGACATGTTTGGCAACTTGAGCATTGTTTATGGAATGTTCTTCCTCTGGCATATTTTTAAGGGTTAGACATTAATAGTGGGAGTTGTATTTGGTAATTCCATGTGCATGGTAAGTTAAAATTGCTTTTAATTCAGAAATATCTTGTATGGATCATTTAGAGAAAATTGTATGGATTTTGCTTTTTTCCATTTTGCCACTCTGGTTGTTTACTGGACTTGTAATTAAATTTCAAAAGCTCTAGAGGGGCAACTTCTCCAAAGTGCTCCTTGTCTGAACTCAGAATATGTATCCCATAATAACTGTCGGTTCATCACAAAACAAGTACTTACATCTTTGCAGGGAACATTCCAGGGAATGGCATATGGCTGCATCTGTCCCACTACTTTGTGTGTCCTGTCAAGCCTCTAACTTCCATGCCAATAATAGCCAATGCATATATTTAAAAACTCACAAGGAACTGAGGCCTCCTAATCATGCAGATGTATAGCTCTTCAAGATTTCAGAAAAGTCCACTACCCTCATCTCTGAAAATAAGGGTTCTAAAGTTTTGTGTCCATCAAAAACATAGATCATCTTCCTTTGTTTTCTTCTAGTCCACCCCATCACCCAGTAGCAAGAATAAATGTGGCTCTGTAACATTAAGTTGTCTGGTTGCATATATCAAGATCTGTGCATGCAGATGTACCCTAAAAAGGCAGAAGTTGTAAGCATGTGAGATGCACAAGAGTGATGGGTCTGATAAAAAAGTAATGGTTAAGATGAAGGAAGTATTATAAATTATAGCATTTTGATGAAAATATTACCACCACAGCAAAGCAAGTTGTATATTCCTTCTTCTTTTTAATGGATTTATAAGGATCATCATAGTGCATTTCTATTAAAATGTATACCTAAAAACCCAGGAGCAAGCCCCACTCAATTTCCATATATAAAAGTTTATAGAGGCTTTGAATTTATAATAGTCCTATATAAAAGAACATCAAGAGTTTTGTTCTTATTATACACCATTCAGAACCACAGGGGATTTGACATGATCCAGAGTAAAGCCTTCTCCCACCTCACATCACCCATACGCATTGAACTACAACTCCCATAAGTGGCTTGGAGATTATAGGAATTGTAGTTCAACATATCTGGAAGTGTAGTGGTAGGGAATTTCTAGTAATATTTACACCAGTGATTGGGGATGTAATAATTGCAATGGACATTTCATGCAGAGATATACAGGAAAGCCTTACAAATTGTCCTAAATCACAACCAATTTACCCCCTTTCAGTTGTGGCTTTCCAGGTCCAAACTAAACAGTCGTTCCTTGGGCAAATTTGGTTCAAATTGCCATACTTAAAAAGTCCCTTATAGAAGGTTAAGGGCATTTCAAAAACTGTACCAGTACTGTTGGAAGTAAGTTGTATTGCTATACAAGCAAACACAAATAATAATTCTGTTATGACCTGAAACATTTATACTACTGTTGAAATTTTACTATTATAGTAACTGTAAAACACAAAGATAATAAAGAAAAACTGTAGTATTATTCTCAACAAATTCTTAGTAATTGTTATGCCTCATCTAGACTATTTTTGCATTCCACCAATTGGAAATTATGGTATTTAAACACTTTGTTTGTTTATTTGTTTAAACTTTCTTAGGACCAAGTTAGAGATGATGGTTACCGTGGAGAACTTGTGCAAGGATTTGCTATTTTATCAGGTGTCTGAATAATTTAGCTTGACATTGTTTACTTTTGCAGCACTGAAAATGTATTTATAAATTTAAAAAGCAGGATATGCATCTCTAGACCAAATTAGATAAACTTCATTTAGCAAGCAATGACTTGAACACTAACTACTTCAAGTAGAATTTTGTTTGCAGAAAAAGGCTTCCCAGTCTCACACTATGGCCCCTTATCATTCCAAACACTGCTCCTGAGAGTTGGAAGACTCTGAAATGGTATGAGATATGGTTTGGAGAGTTGTAGCTGGAGTAGGCAAATCAACAGAAATTGGCAACTCTTTCTTAAATGAATAGAGCTGTCCTCTATGTAGGTACAATTGAATCCCAATCATTTTGTTATGCCCCAAGTAACATAGATGTTTCAGAATCATAAAACTGGATCTCAAGTTATTTCTGAAGCTATAGAACAATATCCAACACCACCCATGCACTAGTGGGGCTAGCCACTAACATAATAGAAGCTAGAAGATCCCAAACCAAACAGAAATAAGAAGCAAGCACTGTTTTTCATAATGAGGAAGGTCCCTAGAGTATGCAGGAGAGAGCTTCATTGACCTGTAACCTTCTGTATACTAGTGTTTTTGCTCATTTCTGGGGTTGCTTAGGAAGTGCTGGCCATTTGTTTTGCTAGCAATAGGTCCTTCTGGTGCAACAGAAACATTGGAAAAGAGGCAAAAGCATTGGATACTAGTAAAAACAGAGAAAGGCCTGAGACTAAGAATGAAATTAATATTACTGGTGGACAGTGCAGGGTTTGTTGTGCAGGGTACAAGACAGTGCTGCATTATGACTTGCCTTGAGGGAGGAAAAGGATTTAGAATTTTTGCCAAAGTATGTCTTAGTTTCCTAGGGTACTTTCACAAAAATAATTTGCCATAAAATCATTGCTTGAAAAATAGAGCAGCTGCACAAAATACACCAGGGAATTCATCTGTGCTCTCAGACATAGCAATGGTCCTGGCTCTATTTTAGAAGGGGCATCTCAAAGTTGGGTGGTACAGTACATTTTTTTGTCTACATGCAACAGTGCAAACATTCCCTGAATGTACTCTCATTTAGACCACTGCAATGTGTGAACCAGGCAAACAGTAGTAAGAAAATCCCATTTTCAGAGAGGCACTTGTCCTAGGCACTTGCAGTCACAAGAGTTGCTCCTGAGTTTGTTTCATAATTACTGGTTCATATTCCATTTGCTTATACAAGGGGAGCTGGGTCTGCTTGGATATAGAAGATATTGTGTGAATAGGGATGAATTTTTAAAAAGTTGATGATTTTTTTAATCTGAAGAAGAGCTCCTAATAACTTAAATCCTATTTCAGAAAAGTATTCCGCAAAAAAGAAAGAATGAATTTGCCCAGCAGTTGGAAAAAACTGCTAGAGTACACTTTTGGCAAATCAACCATTTTTTTTTTTTTTTTTTTGAGAGAGAGAGAACTGCTTTAACCATGCCACTGTAACATATATTTCAAAGACTAGACAGAATGTTAATTCTTCTTTTCTTCATGTTTCTGGCCTGTAAAGGAATTTGATTCTCACCCTCCCCCCGCAAAATAAGGAAACCCAAATAGAGTTTTTTGATGGTAGCCCTAGGTTTTACCTTGACTGTTCTACCAAAGAATATACTTATTGTCCTATTGCTCTATAAATTACAGTTGTACATATCCAATATACTGCACTAAACATGCTAATTAGATATATACAGTTGTTATTTACTACTCATAGAAGTTTATGTACCAGAACATCCACCCAAAATTATACTGAGTAGAAAAGTTAGTGAGGGACTAACTTATTTTTCTACCAGAATAATTTTTATTTTAAAATCTGATAGGTTGTGTGCTAATGAAAGAGAAGGTTAGGCTTACATATCTATGGTGCTATAGGCTATAGAAATATCTACTCACAACCTGCTTGTATCTCAGGGGGAGTATTCAAAAGCATCATGGCAGTGGCAGCATCAATGTCAGGATCTGGAAAAATCAACCAATAAATACATTAATTTACAAGTGGGCCAACCCCCACCCCTGCTACTTTACAGAATGAATGGAATCTCTGTAGTGATGAGATTTACTGAGGTAAGATTGAATAAATCAAAATACTTTTGGGAAAACAAAAGCCTTTGAATTTCTAAAAAGTCTGCATGTGGTCCCAACTCTATTGTTAAATAGCCTGAGTTTGTCATCATCCTGCATTCTTCCAGAGGAGTAGCTGCCTTTATTGATTTTTGCTGTGCAAAAAGGGCCTTAAAGGCTAACAGTGCAATCCTATACATGTTTACTCAGCAGTGAATTCAATGGACCTTACATTTGAGTAAACACAGATAGGATTGCACTCCAAATCTGTTTTTTTAAGTGTCACAAAACTCTTCACTTTTTATTCCAGCTCTTCACTTTTTTATTCTGATCTTTTTCCCTCTAAAAGTGTGCACTGAGCTTTTTGTCAATATTGGGGCCTGATCTGGACCAGCGTATATCTGCAGATGGATGGATTGTTACAGGGTGTGACTGAGCCCCCTTTCCTTCCTTCCTAAGCTCCAGCACATGTCCAAGCAGCTCACTAGGCCATTACAAAGATCAGGATCATCTGTGACTGCCTTCTCTGTACACAAGTGCTCTTCCAGTGGGGGAATGCATGGACCATGTCCTTACACTGTGTTTGCAAGGATATGTTATTAGCTCACAAATCTGGAGAAAGGAGAAAAACAGTCAGCTGGACAGTCTTAATAACTATGAATGCTATACACAAATACAGCATTGGGACACTTTCTTACTCTGTCACAACCAGAATTAAAAACAAAAACAAAACCTGCATATGTATGAAAAATACACCCTGAAAAGGCACCAAAGCCATTTGCATCAGATCCACTCTTAATTTTTAATACAAGGATCATCGCTTGTCTGCCGTTATCCTTAATCGGTTTCTGAATCCATCACACACAGTTAGTTGACAGATGGCAAGTAAGGGACACAGAGCAAAAGATGATCTTTTTATAACTATATTCACTCCTCTCTGAGAGCAGGCCGCACTGCTGCTATGGAAATAGAAGTAGCCATGGCAACAGTAAACAACCAAGAAGGGCCAGTGAATAAGCTGAAAAGAACATCTGCCCCAGCAAAGCGTCCCAGCTGCCCTAGGGCAAAACTTGCTAATCGTGTAGTGATGCTGCGTGACAGAGAAAGCCGCCTATGCCATGTTCAAATAAATGAAGTGTGCAATTGAAGCAGACATAAAAATGCACACCCTTGCTGACTGCTGCCTCGGTGCTGCTAAACTGAATGACTAATGGGGTTGTTTTGAGGGGTTGTGGGGGGGGAGCAGGAGAAAACTACTTGTCACTATTTATACTAAATTACATACCACAAAATTCAATTTGCTGCTAATAGCTTCTTGGCACTTTATTTTGGATATTACGTTGGAAAATTACATTTTAGTGTTAAAAATACATATTTCATATTGCTTATAAATGCAGTTCAATTTCAAGGGTAATAACATAATGGAGTATAAAACCCTACCATCTGTCCATAAATACAGACTTTGCACAACATAGGATTGTAATGGTTACTTCTCACACTCACATATAACAAGTTCTTCACCTTTCACGGATTTCTCTGATGTCCAAACTAACCTCCTTTCTGTGAAGATTTCATTCCCTCTAACAACAAAACTCAAGGGCCCTGTGCTGACAGAAACTGAGCCAAAAATGGAACCACTGAAAACAAAAGGGAGTTAGGGCAGGAGAGGGAATTTGTAGAGCTGCCAAAAAATATGCCACAGAATAAGGACGGGGGAGGGCGGGGCAGAAGGGGCAGGGAGAAAGAATCAGTTGGGGTGCTTGACCTCATAGCAGCTCTGGGTATCCTCAAGGCAGACATAGCTGGCTGAAGTCCTACACTCCAGTTAGAGAGTGATAATATACTGTAACATTTTGCTATAGGTCTCTTCTTGTCAAGACAAAATGACCCCCCCCCCCCACAAGACACACACACATACAAAGCCTTGCAACTTCTGCCTCTGCTTAGTATTTGTGGAATAAGAGGAGAGTCCTTTTAAGAATCAATAACTGGCTAAACAGCAGATAACAGAGGACAGTAGTAAATGGTACCTTCTCCTTATGGAAACAGTCGGGTCCCACAAGGTTCTGTGTTAGGACCAATGCTTTCTAACTTATTAATAAATGATCAGTAGGAGAAAGGAGAACTGAAGTGTACAAATCTGGTGAAGAAACCAACCTATTTAGAATGGTTAAAATGAAGAGAGATTGCGAGGAGCTCCAAAAGGATGCAAGCAACTTTAAAATGATGCATTGTGGGACAGACCCTCAACTGAATCTGAGCTGGGGATGACTGATCAAAAAAGAACTTTGGGTTGTGGTGAATAGTTTAATGAAAATGTTAACCAAAAAGTTTGGTGGCTGTAAAAAAAAATGCGTGCTGGGCATAATTAGGAAAGGACTTGAAATTAAAACTGCTAGGATCACACTCCATTTATGCAAATCTATGACCATGTTCAGAATATTGTGTATCGTCATCACCTTTGTATCACCCAATAGCCAAAGTTTTCTGCTGTGGATTCTAAACCTAAAATGGATATTGCAGAAGCTGGAGCAACTCTCCCCATGAGGAAAGTTTACAACTATTGAAACTGTTCTAAAAAAGATGCTGAGTAAGGAAAGGCATAATAGAGCAGTACAAATTGATGCATGGTGTGAATAAAACAGATACATTTTCTCTCCCTTCCATACTACTTAAATCTGTGGTCATCCCATGCCAGATAAATTCACTCCCATGAGCCACTAATTTGGTTGCTTTGAAAAAGGACTTGGCAAAGGTTTGGAGGAAAAGGTTATCAACAGCCACTGGTTATGATGGTGATATGCTGATGGCAATTTGGTCTTCAGTATCAGAAGCAGTGTAGACATATACACCAGTTACTGGGGAATATGGGCAGGAAGGTGCTGTTGTATTCATGTCCTGCTTGTGGGTAGGTGGTAGATATCACAGTGACTGAGAGATAAAATCTTTCAAGAGAAACAAGTTGCTTAAAATGTGGCTGATGTACACTGAAGCTGTACAACATAGAAGGAACATAAGCTATGCTTTTTGTAACAATTTTTTCTTTTTTACACTTTTAATGTGTTATTATTACTATTAGGACTGCAGGTGGTGCAGTGGTTTAAACTGCTGTGCTGCTGGGCTGATTGATCGAAAGGTTGCCGGTTCGAATCTGCACTACATGGTGAGTTCCCATTGCTCTGTCCCAGCTCCTGCCAACCTTGCAGTTCCAAAGCATGCAAATGCAAGTAGATAAAAAGGTACCACTTCAGTGGGCAGGTAACAGCATTCCGTGCACTTCGGTGTTTAGTCATGTCGGCCAGATGACCACGGAGACTGTCTGCGGACAAACACTGGCTCCCTCAGCTAGGAAACGGAGATGAGCACTGCCCTCTAGAGTCAGACATGACTGGACTTAATGTCAAGGGGAAACCTTTACCATTATTATTATTATTATTATTATTATTATTATTATTATTATTATTAACATTTCTATACCATCTGTAGCCAAAGGTCCCTGGGTGATTCACAACATTAAGTCACCCATCCAGATTTCAACCAGCTCTGACCCTACTTAGCTTCCAAGATTAGACAGGATCAGGCACTTCAGGCTATACAGAAGCTCTATAATATGGTTATAGGTCTAACCTACTTACATTGATGATGGTCAAATAGTTCACCACTTTGTGTGTTGGTCAGCAAGCCAGTAATGTTCTCTTATTTCAAGACCCACAATATAATCAGATCTGCTTGGGACTACAATAAGCTAAAGGCAACTACAATTGACCCATGTATTTCTTTGCCCAGCAAACCTGGGTCTTGTACAGACACAGTACTTATCACTGTGCTTATCAATGCTTATCATATGGCTATCACTGCAAATATAATTTTAGGTAATCTCAGCAGTTTCAAAGTTTCAATTAATCTTTTCAGGTGATTATGCCCAGGAAGTATATAAAAGAATGCATATATACCACTGACATATGTCTGAGTGAAATGGAATTGTTAAGTATTAAGACTGAAATTGAGGGTGCTCCGGCAATCTCAGTGAGAGTGCATTAAACTCTCTTAAAATATATGAGTTGTCAATGTAACATGCATAGCTCTTTGGGTAGTTAAAATGTCAACCAAATTGTGCCAACTCTTTTAAGTAACTTTGCTTCCCCCTTTAAATTTAAACAATGTAAAAGAAGTCTTGAAAGAGGAAGGGAGGGAGGGAATAGCACTTGGGGCAGAGCCTGCATGGAGAAAGAGGAATTAGGAGAGAGGAAGTTGAGTAGAGACAGTGAGAGCATATTCGGAGTAGGTCGTACACAGGGTGCACAATCATGCACAAGCACAGATAAAGGGGACATTCCTATCATTTTTGTGGCTGGTCCCCCAACAGTGTCCAATTTGTGGTGGTGGTGCTTGTGGCACTTTTTCAAAATGCACTTGTGGCACAAAAAGTAAAGTGCTATAATTTTCATACTATTTCTACCAGACATTAAGTGCTACTTGGTAAAATATCATTATCACTATCATTGCATTTGCAATAATATCAAGCTTTTCTCTTCAAATGCAGCTAATATAGCTCCTCAAAACAACCCTTTGAGATCAGTTTGGCTGAGCATCTATGAATGGGCCAGAATGACCCAGGGAGCTTCTTGGCCAATTGGAGACTAAAATCTGGATCTCCCAGGTCTCTAGTCCAACATTCTAACTATCACACCACACTGGCTCTCAGTGACAAAAGGTTCTTGCTTACAGGTAGTCCCTTATATGTGATAGCATACACGGTAAATATATTACTACTTTAGCACACGAGTAAAGGAAGGTTGTTTCCCATCTGTAATTATGAGCACCAAATGCCAAGACAGGAGAGTAACTGAAACATACAATTTCTTGCTATTTCAAATACCTGTCAGTCTGTCCTAAAG